GCTTCCCGAGGAGCAGGGAGCCCGATGCGGGGCTCGATCCCAGGACCCTGGGATCATGACCTGAGCCGAAGGCAGACGCTTAACGACCGAGCCACACAGGCGCCCCCCCCCAAAAATTTTTCTTAATAGAAGAAACTCGTGAAAGAATAACAGTGTAGCCAACTATGTAAACATCAACACTCTCGCCCATGCTAAGGAAGGACAGGAATGTAAGCGCCACTTTCGAAGTATTTAGAATCCTATGGCTATGGCGCTGTAGTTTTTGATGATTTACCCTGATCAGAGGAACTGAGTCATGGGCTTCACACTGGATGTTCCTTTCCAGGTTTTATATCCCAAGGTAGAATTTTCGTGTGAACAAAAGTACTTGTAAAAGTATCTACTCTTCCTTGCATGGTAGGCAATGACTTACGGGTCAGCCACTTACAGAAGGTGCGGTGGGCACGAGGTCACTTTCCGTTCTGCCCGTCTGCATTGCTGTGTGAACCCGGACAGACTCGTAAATGCAAGGTTCTTCCACTTTTCTTGGGTAGGGATGTTTCAGGACAATCAGAGTGCCTGAATGAAGACAAAAGAACATCATCAGAGAGCAGCCCCAGAAAGAAGGCCCATGTGCTAACGACCAGAGACTGTGGCTAGATTTTAGCCTCTTGTGTTCCCATCTTTTCACTTGTTCATTTTCTCGACGTTTCTCAAGTTCCAGCTATGTGCCAGGCACTTAAGGTGGACACTGGAGATATAAAGCATGATGAGCTGATTTCTGTCCTCCTAGGGCTCAGACAGAACTAGCAACGGATATCACTTAACGGGTCGCCATTTCAATGAACATCAGGGTGATGAGACCAGGGTCAGAGATACGGGCAACGCTTGCTGGAGGTGCCCGGGGCCCCCCGAAGACCCCTTCTATGGAACACTTCGGAAAAGCTTTCATGGAGGAGGCCACATGGATCCAGACCTTAAGCTGTAACTGGAAGTTTTCCAGGTAGGCTTTATAAAAGCCATGAAAGTAAAACCCAACAAATGCACTGGGGTATGAGAGGATTTAGTCCATAGTCCTTACTTCTCACTGGTTTCAGAACAAACTCATAACAAATCAGTGGGTCTCAGAAACAGTGGACTCGTTGCATTGCCCTTACTGTCTCCTACCACCTAATTAACAAAATAAGCTACATGAAAATTTGCTTTGCTCAAGTGAACATGACCTGAACTGGCTTATGCGTGATTGCCTTCACTTCCATCTGGAGTAAAAGATCAGGCAGAAAAAGGGTTTCAACAGGGGCCAGTCTTTGGGGGCTTGGGCGCGTCCCTCCAAGGCTGAGAGCACTTCTGACTCAACACTTCTGATCTTCCCCCACTCTACACCCTTCCTTTCCCCCAGTCGACTGGCTGATCCGGACTAGATCCTTTACAAAAAAAGTAAGTTAAGGGTTTCTTCCCCCTTGCTATGGTTTTTTGCTTTTTATTTCACTGGGGTCTTGTAAAGGCAGGCCCAAGATTGTGCCAGGCATTCGGGGAGATGTAAAGAATTTAGTAATACATTGAACAAATACTTATTGGGCTTTACTATGTGCCAGACACTTGTCCAGGCAGTGGGAAGACAACAGCAAACAAAGAAGGTATAGCACCTACTCTTCTGGGAGGAGAGCCAGGAAAAAAAATGAAAAGAAATATAATATGTCAGGTGATAGCAATGTTATGGAAACCCTAGCAGAGCAAGATAAAGGCATAGCAGGTGATGAGGGTGGCGTCGGGGAGAGGGTGATATTTTACAGAGGTGGTCAGGAAGGGCTTCTTTGAAAAGATACTTCGAAAGATTACAGAAAGTGTGGACCCTGGGCGCCTGGGTGGCTCAGTCAGTTAACTGTCTGCCTTCGGTACAAGTCATGATCTCAGGGTCCTGGGACAGAGCCCCGCATCGGGCTCCCTGCTCAGCGGGGAGCCTGCTTCTCCCTCTGCCTCTCCCCCCTGCTCATGCTCTGTCTCTCTCTCTCAAATAAATAAATAAAATCTTAAAAAAAAAAAAAGTATAGACCTTGAACTGGAGTAAGAGGGACAATGAGGACAGAGAGCGACCACCTCTGCAGTTAAAAAGCACATGATAATAATAATACACCTACAAACAAAGCCAAACGATTCTACGGTGCTCGGTGCTCAAGTATGCACGACGTACTGACCGCGAAAACCCAACGGTGGCCTCTGATAGCGGGCCCACGGGACGCCCCACTGTCACTTGAAAAGGAGCACTGAGAAAAGCCAGGAGAGGGTCTCTGACCTTGGAGACTCTGGCCTCCTTCTGCTGCATCCAGTTCACACCCGTATGACTGGGATGACAATGAAAAATGGCTTTCACAGGTATCTGAAGCCTCGGTCCTGCGCTTGTACATTGTCAGCGCTCTCTTGTCAATGTGATCCTTTCATGAGAACAGTTCCAGTCATATCAGGACAAGGGGCCAGCGACAGGTTTCGTGTTAGAGTCATAATGAAAGCAGAGACGCCTAAATCAAGAGCAGCCGTTGTACGGGCTCAGGGGCTGTGTGACACCATCATAACGTGCCAGATGCTCGTGCATGTGGGTCTGGCTCCAAGGTGCCCCCGCCCCAGAGATCCCCCCCCGCCGCCGCGATGTGCCCGGCGGTCACCATGGCCTCACAGAAAGAGCCACCACTGCCACTCGGTACCTGTTGACCCTGGACAGTCATTCTAGCTTCTGTTTCCTCCTCGGACGCCTAAGAATGATTGCCCTTTCTTCACAAGGCTGTTTGAAGCACCGGATAAAAAGTGTTTGTGAAAGGATTATGAAAATGTGAGATGTTATTATGCTTTGATATAAAGTATTTTTAACTTCTTAAATGAAAACCCAATGATTGCATCTCTGGAACATGCATTTTTAAATGTCGAGTTAAAAAAGACCCGTGTGTGACATTCTGCCAAGAATGAAAATGGCAGTCTCGTAGCCACGGACGGCAGCTCTTACGACGCATGGGCGCCTCCTAAACCCTTCCGTCCGACGGTGGAGGAGAGGGGCCTGGAGCCCAGGGCTCAAAGCAGTTTTCAAGTTAGAAAAAATGTGAACTCTCATGCTTTCTCTTCAAAGATGATGCAAAAATGTTCATCCTTTTCCATATGTTTAACGTGAAAATAATTTTTTAAATGATGCTTCGGAAAGATGTACCTAGTCGATCCTGGTTTTGCACGTAACCGAGCAAACTACCCGTAGTTCTTCTGTAACAAATCACCACCACCGTAGGGACTTAAAACAACTCGAATTTATTACCTCACAGTTCTGGAGGTCAGAAGTCTGAAATGGGTCTCACTAATCTAAAATCAAGGTGTTGGCAGGGCTACTTTCCTTCTGGAAAGGCTCTAGGGGAGAATCCACTCCCTGTCTTTTCTAGCTTCTAGAGGCTGCCGCCATTCCTTCCCCCGTGGCACCATTCCTCCAACTTCAAAGCCAGCAATGGTGTGCGTGAGGCCTGCCCACACGGCCATGTGTCTGGGTCTCCCCCTACTGCCCCCGTCTTTCACTTATAAGGACCCTTATGATTACAGTGGGACCACCTGGAAAACCCAGGATCACCGCCCCATCCAAAGTCAGCTGACTAGTAGTCTTAACTCCATCTACAAACTTAATTCCCTCTTGCCATGTAACATAACATATTCACAGGTGCAGGGAGAGAGATGGGCATCTTTTTGAGGGGGGAGGCATTTTCTTGACTACCACGTATCAGCGCCTGGGAGGTAAGCATAGCCTTGGGGGCCGGTTGTGTTCCGTGTAAGGATCTCTGGGCAGGAGGGCTACCTGAGCCACATGCTGGACCCGCTTGGTATTATAAAGCCATTGCCTTTTCAACAGGTGCATTTCCCACCCCTGAGAGTCTCTTCAGAGCAGGTATGGTGCCAAGTTTATCTTTTTATCCCCACCTCCTGACAGAGGTGCTCACATAACTTGATCAGTGAGTGGACAAATGAATGCCACAGTAATTCAGAGAAGAGCCTGGGAGGAGGCAGCCTCCCAGGGCCACGACCACCCCGCCCCGGGACGAGGACAGGACCACAACATCAAGTACAGCTGTCCAAATCTCCACTGGGGGGAGCCATATTCTATTTCGAAAACCTCTTCTGAAGTTGAACCAACAAAAGCTAAACTGAGGGAAATGATAATGAGTCAACAGGAAAGCAGAATTGAGTATAGATCGATTTTAACTAGTAAGACCATGAATGAGGCTAGATTGAATGGTGGAACGAAGAAAATGGCAGTCTGCTTATAAAATGATAGCTCCCACCGACAGGCCCGCCTCCTAAAGACCGGTCTTCTTAGCTGACGGTTTTGCGCAAGGAGAAAACAATACATGGACTTCTTGGCAAGGCTGCTGGGCTTACGATGATTTCCCCTTCTACAGAGACTGCTGCATCCTTGTACACCAGGGTAGATCCCCACAGACCCTGGGCGTCCCCCCACAAACACCTCACCCGGGTGCACTCACGGGACTCACTTCCCGGGGATCTACTTAGTTACTTCTCTGGAGAGAAGACCCACTAACTCCAGTTTCTGAGCTACATGAAGGAGACTGTTTTTTCCTGCCTTTGACATAAAACGTGATCTCAGAAACTCTCGGTGGAGGTACATTTTTGAGGTGATCAGAGCGGGACGAAGGGAGGCTTTTCAGTTCGCTGAAAGCTTCAGAGTTGCCGTGATCATGAGGCTGATTCTTTATTGTCTCTTGATGCTCATTCTGGGACAGAATACTAATATCCTTACCAAAAAAAAAAAAATATATATATATTCCACTTCTCTCCCTGTACTACTCTCCTCCCGTTTTTTCGGTTTTGTTTTTTTAAATTCAACTAGCCAAGGTTAGTTTCTGTCATTTGCAATCAAAAGAAACTTAGAAAATGTAGCCATCACAGACTCATTATATTTCCACCTAAGGTCCAAGGTAGGGCCTTGGCTCCCTAAAGGAGGAACTCGGGGTGAGTGATACTCAGGCCAAATTAACTCCAGGATTTGGTTGGAAAATTCAGATACAAAGCCACAGGAGGCAGGGGCTGGTAGAGGGAGGAGAGAGGAAACCTGGCTGCAAGTTTCACTTCAGTTTCTGAGCTACATGAAGGAGATTGTTGTTTCCTGCCTTTGACGTGAAACCTGGTTTCAGAAGCGCTCCGTGGAGGTACCTTTTTGAGGTGATCAGAGCAGGACCAAGGCAGGCTTTTCAGTTTGCTTTGGCTGCACTGTTAACTTACAGGACACCCACTCTGTATGCGACATTGTGACATTGCATGGAAGCACTCCCTGGCTTGTATCCCTGCAGGACCTCAGCAACACAGTAAGAACAGCCTCAAACCTCAGGCACTGGGATGATATCTGCAATAGAGAGTAGTTCAAGAGCACACATAGCTCTTAAAAGGGAAACTTTTATGCACTAAAGCACCTGCGTACCCATCAGGTTTCTCAGCCAGATGGTAAGGTGTTTGAGGGTGAGGACGATATCTGGTTCATCGCTCTATTGTCAATACTAATAATGTGCAGCTCATAGTTGGCACTCCATACATATTTGTTG